TTTTTATTATTTTAACATTGTCACAGTAAGTGGAATTTATACATGTACATTTTATTATTTTTATTAATTATTTCATTAATTATTTTTCATTTTTATTATTTTATTACGACTCCGCGGGTGTGAAAAACTATCAGCCATTAGACCCGCTCGCTTCTGTCCTTCTCCATCTCTCCATCTCTCTACAGGCTCCCCTCTACGTCAACTTTAACCCAACCTGTCTCTCTCTTTAACCCTGCTGAGTCTGCCCCTCTCAACTCCACACACATTTCTGTGGATATCTAAATAATCTAATCGAAACTAATTATAGTTACTGCAGATGAACTCAAAAAAACTCAGCAAAAGAAAACTTTTGGATTTTTAGAATAAAACATTATGTGCTTTGTGTATAAAATGTTTTCACAATTGAAGATAGTTGATGCTTTTGTTCAGTTTTGCTAAATTTTAGTCACTTCACACACACACACACACACACACACACACACACACACACACATAGAGGGAAACTTTAGAAACAGTCACACCATACAGTAATATCTTTGGATATTATAATACTGAAGAATACTGAATAAAGAAAACAATAAATAATGCATGTAGAGGAGTCAGGAAAAATAAAAAAATAAAATAAAATAGCAAATTATAGGTAAAATGTCAACATTTTGTTTTGGCTAAAATAAACTATAATTGTCATTGAATAAATGTACAAGATTTAAACATTTAATTTGCCCCAGCAGACAAGGATAAGTCCGTTCCATTCTTAAGAGCCTCCAAAATTAATGTCACTGATTTAAAAAAAAAACAACACTATAAATTTAATGCAATTTATAATAATATTTAATCAGAACTTTTGAATGGCTGAAAGATTTTTTTGCATCTACCAGCAAAACCAAAACACAGCAAATCATATTGCATAAATTGTACAGAGTCGAGTGCTGTGGCTCAGGCAGGTGTGATTTCTCGTCTGTCAGTGATGTATCTGTCAGGTAGTAGTGGCGTACTGTGTGGTATTCCACAAAAATCACTTACAGCACTAAGAAGAGAGCAACATCTGAGCAATAAAATATTCAGACTTACACAGAGTCACACTTAGTCACTGAATGTTCAGTGCATCCCAGAACAAAAGCTTCACTGCAAACACCACGCAAAAAGAACAACAAAATATGAAGGTGTGAAAAGAGAAAATGGATAAGCAGCAGAAAACACACATTAGAAGAGAAACAGAGAAATGAGAACTGGCTCAAAGACTAAACCTGAAATAGAGCAGAAAGACTAGAGATAGAGAGAGAAAGAGAGAGAGGGGAATAGTCTGGGAACAATAGTCTGCATGTGGGAGGACAAGAATCTTCTATTTTACATCTCCAGAAACAAACACAGCATAAGAGAAGAGCAGAGGCATGCTGAGTAAACCAGGAGCTGCTTAGTTAGAGGGGTTTTAGTCAAGCATCACTATTATTATTTATCCTACTTGGGGTTAGTGATTTGAAAAAAACAAATAACCCCATCCTTCCCCATTTGAGTCATTGAATCATTCCCTAAATCATGCAGCTTGTTCTGGAAAGGTGTACTTTACCCAACTTATCTGAGCAACTGCATAGCAATGTGCTAAAAACACACCCTAACAACCACCTAGCAACGCTTTAACAAACCCTAGTAACTTCATAGCAATATGCCAAAACAACTTAATCACAAAGCAACCACCCACAACATATGACCACCCTACCAACTGCTTTGCAGAAAATCACTCAGAAAACATTCAGAAAATCTTAGCAATGCCTTAGCAACTTTCCAGAACACCCTAGCAACTGCACAGCACCATGCTGAAAAACACTCACCTAAAAACCACAAAGCAACATCCTCACAACCACCCAGAATGATCTAACAATTAGCCTATATAGATGATTAAAATAAGAACAACACATTAACAACTGCATAGCAACGCCTTGGCAACCAACCACAACATTCTAGAATCTGTATAGTAAAATAAAACACTCGCAATGCCCTAGCAACCACCCAATGCATCCTAGTGTTGCGATGCTGTTGCACAAGCAAGCATCATGCAACCTGGCAACCCTACAAACTACACAGCAACATTCTAAAGACACTCAGTGACACCTTAACAACCACCCATAACACCCTAGCAACCTAAACAACCACCAAGTAACACTCAGAATAACACCTTAGGACATTCTAATCTAGAATCTGTATAGTAAAATAAAACACTCACAATGCCCTAGCAACCACCCAATGCATCATATTGTTGCGATGCTGTTGCACAAGCAAGCATCATGCACCCTGGCAACCCTACAAACTACACAGCAACATTCTAAAAACATTCAGTAACACATTAACAACTCAGAATAACACCTTAGGACATTCTAGAATCTGTATAGTAAAATAAAACACTCCTTAGCAACCACAAACCAATACCTTAGCAACCACCCAGAACATTATTTCTATACTTCATAACGAAATTGTGAATGGTGTTTTCTCATGCAAAACTTTCCACCATGATGTTAAGATGCTGTGGGCGGTTGCCAGGGTGTTGCTATGCATTTGCTAGGGTGTTCAGGGTATATTGACATATAGTTGCTAGGACATTCTGGCTGGTTGTGATGTTACTTTGTGGTTGTTTAGGTGAGTGTTTTTTTTTTTTTCAGATGTTGCAATGCAGTTGCTAAGCTGTTGCTAAGACTTTAGAATTTTTTTGCATGTTGCTGTACAGTTTGTATGCGGCTGTGATGCTTGACTATACAACACTTGCTAGGTGTTATCTAACGTGTTTCTTTTTTAGCATTATACAGAATCTCCCAGCTGACTGCTGCACATGACATTAATGACAGCAACAGTGTGAGACAGCGCTTCAACAGGTGTGTGTGTGTGTGTGTGTGTGTGTGTGTGTGTGATGCTCTTGTCTACCCCTCCAGTACTTCACGTTCCATCCATCTTCCCTTTCTCTGTCTGTTTCATTTTTGGAAAGTGTGATGCTGAGCTCTAGATCACCATGGAGACCCTGACTCTCTCCAGGAAACACCTCAAAATGCTTCAAAGCGCTGATGGTGTGCCAATCACCATGGAGACTTCAAGTGTTCAGAATATTGCCCTACACCAACCCTGCCCCTAAACCTACCCCTTACAGGAAACTTTCTGCATTTTTACAATTTAAAAAAAAACTTTGTTTTCTTTATTTTTATACCAGTTTTACAAATGAGGACGTCCCAAAGTGAGGTTTTTGGAGATTTTGTCAGGTTTAGCTCACTTTTGGGTACAAATTTGTCCCCAAAATATGGTTAAGTAGGTACACACACACACATACACACATACACACACACACACAACAGTTTTAATGAAAACTGACATCTTCACAGTTTCGTGGGTAAAAACAGAAGCGCTGATGTTTGGTTGGTATTGAAAATTCTGAGCTAAGATTAAATTTAGTTTCACAAAAACTGTTGTGGCAAATACTTCAAAAATAGACAGAGAGAATGCAAGCCGTGGCAAAACTAGAAGAAAAGCATCACTATTTCTAATGCTTATAGTTAGAACTAGTATTGTGATCAAGTGTGCTAAAGTTCAGAGGGAGTGATTTAGCCATAATTAATAGACCAGAAAATCACAGATCAATTTGGTACATGATACTTCATGAATGCACCCTTCACTAAACAAGTTATGCTTTGCTTTAAGAAAATCAAGTCCATTCATATTTTGTGCATTGTGCCATCATTGTCATGAGATTTAAGCACATAAAATCTGATTGCATTATTGCAAAAAATAATGTATTATTTAAATTGTTGCATGTTTATACATTGCAAAAGTATTTGTGCTGCCTTTAATTTATGCTGATTTTATAATTAAATAAAATTATTGCACTATAATACTCTTTACTATGATGCAGTAAAAATATTTAAATTGTAAAATATATATACAGTACATCATAATGAATTTGATAATGAATTTGATGTTCTGATTTTAATTTATGCTGACTTTATAATTTAAAAATTACTATACTATTATACTCTTTATTATAATACAGTAAACATTAAAATGTAAAAATTAAATTAAAAAATAAATTGTAAAATATTTATATATTATGATAATATTGGTTGTACAAATCTAATGAGAATTTAATAAGAATTCCTAAAAGACTTGAAAGTCAAACCCCCAGATGCATTACAGTAATGAGGATTTGGTAACAAAATGTGCTCAAATATCATAAAATTGTCACGAGTGCTGCTGGAGAAGATCAGACACTCACTGAAACAGCATTCACACACACAAGCGAATAAAAAAGCTTTTCATAGAGGAAGATGGAGAAAGTTAGTGAG